TTTTCTTTATTTCTTAAATAGGTCTGATGTAGTTCTTTACGTCGTTGTTCAGAGGCCAACTTTTCTAGGTCAGTCAATTTTCTACATTTATCAATATAAGTCTTCTTTCGATTTTCTTTATTTCTTAAATAGGTCTGATGTTGTAGTTCTTTACGTCGCTGTTCAGAGGCCAACAGTTCTTGTTCAGTCAACCTTTTACGTCCAGCCCCACCCTTGCAAATCTTCGTCTCAAAATCGATCATAAAGTCAGTTTTTATAATAGTTTTCATAATCGTAATATATCGAACGAGTATCACTTTACCTTGTTGGAGTTGGTACTTCAAATACTTGATAACTTCTTCTTTCACTTTCCTGATGTTTTAGGCCAACTGTCAGTCAATATTCAAGAAAGCGGTGTGCTGCTTCTGGAGCAGTGATAATGCGACTGACTTGATATTCTTTGATTTCCTTGTTGTGAAGCGTTATTTGTTTACTCGGCATTGTTGTGTTGACATTGTTGATGACGTCATTTTTGACGACAAATAGGTTGACGACAACGGGGAATCAGAAATTTTTATAGTAGACATTATCATTTGTCTTTATTAATGGGGTCACTACTTCTGCAGAATATTCCCCTGTTTCCTTTTTCATTATTTTCCAGACTGCTTAAATGTTAAATACTCTATTATTGTCTGTTGAATTTCCCCAGAAAAAAACTCCATGATATGATATGTTAGAATGTAAATAAGCAAAGTAAAAAGTTTGCTTACTTGTTGTGTGTATTAATGGATGTGCTGCCAAGGAATGGCATAGTAGCTAATGTGCACTGAGTTTTGTGCCTGTCATGAATTATTTCAATGCATTTTAGTATTTTAAAAATATTTTTTTAATCTTTGCATTTCATGTAAAGATTTAAAGGCTTGTAAGAACTGCAGTACAATTGTCAGAAATAGCACAGAGAGAAGCTGTTATAATAAAGTGAATTTACCATATTATTGTAATATTGAAACCAAGTAAAATACACATTTCCATCAGACATGATTGATTTTAGTCAGGAGGGACTTCCCTTCCATTATCTGAGGATGGAGCACCTTCATTAACATTGGGCATTATGATCATCTGAGAAGCTGGATGGCTGTTGACTGTCACTGGCAAAAAGTTTGTTGATGTATGAGTTTTATAAACAGTCTAGTGAAGTTAAAATTATTCATTGTCTGGAATTTTCCATCATCCTTGTTTAAATAGAAGAAACCAATGGTCCAGTGACGGAGACTACAGACCCAGCTGAGCAGGTACCGCTTGCCTGAAGATGGAAATAGAGCCAGTTTGTGAAACATCATGGTTTCTTCTTTTTAAACAAGGATGATGGAAAAAGTCCAGACAATGAAATTTTAAGTGTAATCCACTATTGTCAGAACCCTTTAGAGTTGAGTCTAGTGAAGTGTTAAAATTAATATTTAGTAAGCATTATGATGTCCATCATTAATGACACAATAGGAATTAATGGTGTTTCTAAACAATTGTGCTTTTCATTTATTTATTCATATATATATAGTTTTTAAAGACAGGTGGCTAGCTGGGTGTGTAGATAAATAGTTAATGTGCGTTCCATAGATCCTACTAAGGATGAGAAACAAGTTAGAATACACTTACTAATAACGCTACATTAATAATTAATTTAATTTTTTACATATCTTCTGTCTTTCAGGTTGGGAAGTTTTACACTCAGTTGCTTCTGTGCTGGTTGTATATGGTGTCTTGAAAATCATTGGTGGTACTTTAATCTCTGTCATATGCATCTTTATATTCACAATGGGCTATCTTTTAGCAGGTGAGTAGCCTCAAATGACAACAAAATGGATACAGAAATGAATATTGGTCTAATCACTTTTTTCACTATCACTATTGACCATGTCAGCATATCTGTATTGATTGAAAGAAAATCATCAGTGTTGCAATATGCCCTTTACTGTCTTTTGATTTACAAGACATTGTTTTATGTAGTCCTTTGAAACTTTGTGTTAAAATAACTAAAAGTCTTAATATGTATTACTGTTTGTGAACGTATCTCACTTTAGCTTGTTGACTTGCGCATAGTAATTGTAAAATCATATATTTTTTGTGTGTTAAACTGTCTTGTTATGTTGAATTACCACAATCAATGTTTGTTCAGTTTTGCATTTGGTGTATTTGTTGCATTTTGTGTCCTATTTTTCTTTAATATTTTACAAGATTATGTTGCACAACATACTGCTAGTCATTTCATTTCATTGCCATGAATCATGGTCTTCTCATATTGGATTGTGGCTATGTTGCCTCATTTCTGTGTGGCTATTTTATACCCTATCCTGTTGGTTTATAGATTTATTAGCTTTATTGCTACCAACATTCCTTCTTAACCATTTTTGCCAGTGCAAGCAGAAATGAAACATTGACCTCTGTGATTTGTTATTCATTGTTCAGTCCTTGTTTCCTGCTTCTATAATTTTAATGTCTTGTGCATCCATGTTGATGCTTGTAGTTTCATCTTTTAATAAATCTACGATATCCCCAATTGAACCACATGCTTCCTGATTATCTGAAATATGTTTTTCATACCATGACTTTTCATAATTATACCATGTTTCTAATGTGCTCCTAGTCTGGTGTTAAATTACTTGAAGTTTTTTTAATGTAACTGTTGTAATGCAGACCTTTTAGTTTATAAATACAACAAAAATTATTTATATGTTTGTGTGTGTGTGTGTGAGGGAGAGGGGGAGAGAGACCTGTTTCTTATTTCTACAAATATTTTTATGGTGTTGTTGGTACTGTATGTAATTTGTACATTAATGGTCATAAACGTTTTTATTAATCTAATTTCTTCATGGCAAATTGGATTGGATAGAATTTGGGACTACCATATCTGTATAACATTAGAAATTCTTTACAATGCAGAAATAAATTGAAAATGTTAAAATTAGAACCAGGCCACAAAATGATGGTCATTAAATATCACCACTTTATTTAAAAATGTACCAAATGAGGAAGTTTTGAATATAGTAAAACTCATTCCATGTAGTGGTATACATATAGACATAAAAAACAGGAAAAATGATGAGTGATATGTGTTTATCTATTATCCACAAATTATATTTTTAGTCAAGTTTTTCCAGACACTCTGTACTGTTTTTTTAAGCTGGACACAAGATGAATACTGTGCTTCTTGTGGCTCTGATTATTCACACTTGTACTACCACCTTAAAAATATGGAAACTAGTTTACTGTGTTGGGTCATACCCAAGCTACTTTTTATATAATATTGTAACTAATCTGTGCTTCTAATAATTTTTGTGTTGTAAGGTGAAGTACAGCTTATCAAAACAGTACTCACACACAGTCTGTGAGTTATTTGATGAAACCATGTTATGTCAGGTTCTGCCCCCTGATAGATCAATTAGTCCCATATATTATAATGAATGGTAGTAGGGTGTAACTTTTATTGTATAGTAATTTTGATTTCAGGTTATTATATGACTGGCACAGAAACATATGATATTAAATGGAGTATGCCACAGTGTGTACTCACTCTACGGTTAATAGGTTTAGCATTTGATCTCTTTGATGGGAAGAAGTTAGAAGTAAGTTCCATATATTTATTAACTCTATTGTATCGATCTGTGCTTCTGATAGTTTGTGCTGTAAGATTAAGTATTTCTTCTCAACCCACCTGCTTTATTTTCATGTTTGGTATGCATTTTTGAACAGCATATGCCCCAAATAAGACATAGGCTATGCAAAACTGTCCACTCATATGATTTTGTCCGATGTGAACTTCTTTCTATCAACTTTAAGGTAATTTGATTTTCCAGTTTGCTCTGAATTTGCACTGAAAACTCAGGCTAAGGCCCCCCATACATACACAGTTTGGCCTGCACAGTTGAAGACTGAAAGGCAAAACTCATGTGTGTGGTGCGGCCGGCCGGCCAATCGTTTGGACTGTTGGACTGTAGGAAATCCTTCAGTTCTGCTTGCAGGACATAGCACATGACAGGCGGAACAAATTTGACCTCTTTGCAAAAAATGTCGCTGCCAAATTACGAGCATTAGGAAATAATGAACAAAGGATTTATGCAGAGAAATTAATAATAGCTGCATATGCAAACAGTTCATCAACTGTAGACATGTTTTAACAACTAAACATGACTGCACTGCACTCGGCGACATAGGCTGGAAGACTGTGACTGTGGCATGCAGCCTGCCGGTTTATTTGCGCGTGTATGGGGAAGGGAAGGGAGAGGGCAAACTGTGACAGTTTTGCCTGTAAGGTCGATCGGAAGGCCAAACTGTGTGTGTATGGGGGGCCTTAGGGACAGAGTAAAAATCTCTTAACTGTGTAACATATTTGTCTTGCTGTGTTAAATATTTTTCTTTTCTACATACTTTGTGCATGCCTATATGCATATGTGTGCACAAATAGAATGCTATAACAGAATTTTTTATGTACAGGAAGAACTCTCCCAAGAACAGAAGAAGAAAGCTCTGTCCAAGATACCATCTCTGCTTGAGGTTGCTGGTTACACGTATTTTCCAGCAAGTTTCCTGGTTGGCCCGCAGTTTTCCATGAGAAGATACTTAGACTTTGTTGCTGGAATTTTCAGAGATGAAGTAGAGGTACAGCAGTGTTCTTGTTTGTGTTGTTGCTTGTTGACTGAAGTTTGCAAAGCATTGCTTACTAAATAACATGTGCATCTGTGTGTTTCAGAGGTTAGAACTTTCTATTAGCATCAACCATCAACTTCTTAGTTGATAGTTTTGTTGCCTGAAATGAAACATACAGGCAGTGTAAATGCATAAAATTACTACATATGCTATAAAACAGGCATGTCCTATAAACAAAAATGGGAAAGTAAACATTTTTCTTTCTTTCTTTTCATTTAGCTTAATTGATTTTCATTAGCACATGTTCAGTTTTATTCAGAAGATTTTCAATGAGTGGGTTTGCATTCAGGTGACAAGCCAGGTGGAGGGTATACACTTCTTTGTAAAAGTTCACATGAGTGAAATTTCATAATGTGAATCTTCATAAAGGGAGGACTGTCTGTACTGTTCTCTTACCACATTACTTTTGAGTTCTACATTGAATAATTAATTTATATCACTCTCCAACCTTATTAACCATCATCCTCTAACAAGTGGTTTCATATATATGTGTATTTTTTAGACATTCCAGACTGACGAACTGCCTAATTGTTTAGTACCAGGATTGAAGCGAGGAGGTCTTGGTTTTGTGTATCTTGGCCTGTACCAAGTTGGAATATTATTCTTTCCTGATTCTTACTTACTGGGTAAAGAGTTTCAGGTAAGCTTCACACCTCATTTTGTATTCAGTATCATTTTACTGAAATTTTAAGAATTTTCCTAGCATATGAATCATTTACATCTGTCACTAGCTTTGCAGCTTATACTCTGATCATAAATTAAATTAAGACATAGGCCATATAGCATAATGTGTGTGATGATATTTATCATTGGTTGTGTAGGACAGTTCTGCAGATGATTTATAAATAATTTCTTGGTTAATACAAATGAAATCCAGATCAGTGAGTTGAAACAAATTTAATTTTATTTATAAAGACTCTTGGTCTTTCAATTTATTTGCTGTTATAGTTTAAATAGTATTTTAGGGAGGGTTTAGCAGACTTCTGACCAATTTTTGATATTTTACACCAAAGTCAGGAAAAGTAATATGATTTAAGTAGTTCGAAACGTGGATAAGATATTGTTATTTGAATTAATATATTTTGCATACCATGTCTTAACTCTGGATAGTTTAGATGTTTTACTGTTGTGAGGTTCAGTAACAGCAGAGAATATCTTGACTAGCTAAATAATTATAAACTGCTTATGAAAGACCTTATCATGGAATTCATTCTCCTCACCTGCCAGTCAAGGAATTAGAATATTGTTGACTGGCCTGTGTAACTATTTTAAGTCTGGTGGTTGCTTAAATAACACTTCATGATGTGACGATACATGCCATTTTTAAGGGCAGTGGGTAGTAAGGCGATTTTATATGAGTGCATTGGTTATTTTATTCGCAATTATGGGAATTTTTTCTTTTTGAATCTTGAAATAAATTTAAAACTCTTGTGTGGAGTGATTAAGATTGATATTAGTATTGATCTGGTGGGGACAGCTTCAGCCTTCCTAGGCACTCAGACCACTGCTAGGACCATTGTGCTTCCTTGAGCTAGTTAAGGCCCTTAGAAGAGTTCTTGAATGCACTGCTAGAGCCTTAACTGACCTGAGGTCATCCTAATATTAACCAGCTTTAACCATGCATAGCAAATTATCTCTAATCTATCACTAGCCAACAATGCTGGTCATTGACAGAGTGTTATTGAGGGAGGATTCCTCCTGTTCATATTTCCTGCAAATAACACTTTCAAGAGGCCCGTGATATGTAGGTGCTACGTCAGTGTGCTATGGCCAGTTAACAATCCTGCTACCACCTTGCATTTTTTATGGCCATTAGGTCCCTAGACAGTTCATCAGGTCTTCCTATGAAGAGCTTTGATTGCCTCAAACATGGTGTGGCAGCCCAATGCTTGGAGTGCCTCTCCTTCAGCTACTTCTAAACCTTAAGCCTATGAACACATTATGGTTCAGGATGAAGAAATCCAAGAAATGGTGTGCTCAATCTCTCCCTAGCCAAAGCATATACAGGTAAACCTCGATTTGCGCTGATTCAGAATAACGCCGCTTTTGAAACCAGCAAGTCAGAAAGTGAAAAAATATATTTTACTGTTATTTATGATGTTATACAATGTTTCTCATACTGATTCTTATACTAAATCGTAATTCTTACATCGCTGATTTTGAATAAAAATTATAAATACAGTCACCTCTGCATTCATTGCTAAGTAGTTGCGAGATAATCTCCTAAAAATCCGCCAACATTGTCCAACAGTCACGTGAGCATTGGTCACACTTCACGGGAGTCATTTGCATTCAGCCTGATAAGGGAGTAAGGAAAAATGCGCTCAGTTCGCTTCTTGTTGACACATTGAATGTCCTGAAAACTGTGTGCTAAACGTGTTTGTGTTGTTGTTGACCACTATTCTGCAGTAGCAACTGTTTTATGTTTATAAATTGTAGAAGAGCCACCATGTCTGGTAAGAGAAGTGAATGTATTGCTAAAAAGTAGCATAGGTCTATTGTGTTAGAAGATAAGATGGACGTAATTCATAGAATAGGTGGTGATACCTGTCGTAATGTGTGCAGAAGTATGAAGTTGCCTCCTTCCACTGTGACTTCCATAATAAAAAATTCAAATAAAATAAAATGGTCAATGCAACAGGCTACGAGAGTAAGTGCAACGCAAGTGAGTTATAGCAGAAGTAAACTTTTAGAAAGAATGGAGAAATTACTGTTGCTATGGGTGGATGACATGAATCGAAAAAACATTCCCTTGACTGAAATTGCTGGCACGGATAAGGCGAAGTCAATTTTTGAGGAACTTAAGTCGTCAATGTTTGGGTGCCGGGAACGCATGTCATTGACTTCCCATTGATTTACATTTTAAAAAGAGTTTAAATTTAGGCCAATTTCATTTACGCCGGTTTGTCCAGGAATGCATCCCCGGCGTAAATTGAGGTTTACCTGTATATCCTTGTTACCCTGAATACAACAGTGAGGAGGGACCCAGAGGAGTGTAACCTTGTTCCATTTGGATAGGGTACGCAATGCTTGTGGATATTCCCAGACAAGCTTCAACATCACCCTCATTGCGTGAAGGGCTGACAAAGTTGCCTGCCTGTCTTAGTGTATATAGATGTGCTCATGTATATAGATCCTATAGATAGTAATAGGCTAAAATAACAGAAACTTCATAAACACTGAAAGGATTGCCTGCTACATACTGTAAAATTGCTTGAAATTATGATTCTTGAGAGCCTTGACTGAGATGTAATCCACTCCCCAAACTAGTGGGACTCTTTTGGGGGAGCCTGACCACCACTTGTTAGACCTACCATAGGTTTGTCCTGAAACCTGGTTTCTACAGTTTTAACCTCTCAAGGATGGCAGCCCTGTCCAGGGATCCATGTTGCCACCCTTTGAAATTTTGGAAGTGAGTTAATTTGCATAAGTCACAGACTGCTCCATCCCAGTTGCTTAGCGGTGGAATAACTCCTATTATCCATTCCGAAGCTCAGTTATCAACACACACAACATATGCTGCCCCTCCTGACAGGAAATTTATGGAATAGACAACATCCACTTTAAGAAGCATGGCAGTCTCCGTCCTCACACTTCCCATTGATTTGTCCAGCCTATCTACAGTAATGCATCTTCAGGTAATGGTCATCTATGATGGACATTTTCATTGAGTTCACAGCTGCCTGAGCATATCTGGTGTAACCATGGCCAGAGATCCTAGTTAGGTGTTTTCTTCTCATGGCCTGCTGATTGCAAGGTATCTCCAGGCACCTTTTGTCATATGCTGACTGGGACAGCAGAACCCACATTTCTGGTTCCAACTGGACCTGCTTCTTGAGGACCGCTTTTCTTTTCCTGGTTTACTTGTTCTGTGAACCAATCTAGTTCTTCCTCTTGATAGTGAGGTTCCTTGCCCCACATTATATTCTTTCTGCTCTGTGAAATTATTCTGATAATTATAAAATTTGATTAACAGGTGCATGTATAGTGTGTCTATTTTATGTTTGGTTACAGGAACTACCATTCTGGAAGCGATGTTTAACATTGGGTTTGTGGGGCAAGATAACATTATACAAGTATATTTCTTGCTGGCTCATCTCGGAGGGTGTGTGCATTACAGCAGGTCTGACATACAATGGCAAGGACTCGTCAGGCAAAAGTCGGTGGGATGGCTGTGCCAATGTTAAACTTCGAGTCTTCGAGGGAGCCACTAAATTTGGCCATTTCATCACCTCATTCAACATCAATACCAACAACTGGGTGGCGCAGTCAGTAAACCTATTTTAATGTTACAGCAGTAGGAATGGTAGGAGTCTGAAAATTGAGAAACAGTTGAAGTTCAGGTTTACATTAACAGCGAAGTTTGTTACAGATGCAGGTCTAGAGTGCTTTCCTGGTTTAATTAATACATGCATGTTTCTCTGTTGCTGAACTATGAACTCTAGGTCATGTGTGCATAACATGTAACTACGTACATTGCTTTATGATTTCATGTGTCCTTCAGTGGAGGCTATTTCAACAGGTATTTAATATGGGTTCACTGAAAGATTTACTGATAATATAAAGAGAGAAACAAGGCATATTATATTTCAGTTAACTTTAATATCTCAACTTTTATCATAAGTAAAGTGTGTATGAACTAGCGATGGGCCTGTGGACAACTGTCGTTTTATTTAAAAATAACAATCTAAAAATTGGTTGAATGTCTGTAGGCTTCCACTTCTACCACTAAAGAAACTAAGAAACTTTCATGTGTGGCAAAATTAACTATCAAGAATTACATACACTGAAATAAACTGTACATTATGACAATTGTTTACCAGATGTAGGAGGTAATGGTTTTACATTGGGTCTGAATTCCCTCAACACTTCTCCCCCCACTTCTAATTTTCAGAAACCTTTTCACAAAATTTATCTCACATTATTTGGATATTTGTACTGTGAATTACTGGGTGGCACAAGAAAAGTTATGTTTTTTTAAACAATGGTAAATGTGAATGGCTTAATGGATTTGAATTAAAACTGTGTAAGTTGTGCAGCACATAAATAAGTTTGTGTAACAAATCAATCAAAATGAATAAACTCGTTTGTCCACAAACTTAGTTATGTTCATTTTTGCCATTGTTTTTAAAAAAGTATTTTTTTCACTACCCAGTATATATACTATCTGGCATTGTGTGTGGGATCTTCCGTTCTCTGTTACCATATTTGTACAGTGAGGATATTTGGCAGTATGGTATGGCCTTTCTGCTATGTGCAGTCGCTGTATCATTTGTCATGTTTTCTAGTTCTAATGATATAGCTACCAAATATCCTCACTGTGTATCATTACCTTATTCTGTTCACATGTTTGAACAGCCATTAGGTATTAACAGTGTGTTTATTTAATTTATGTAGATGAATTATTTGTTTACATGTGCATTTCAATTCTGTAATTGTGACTTACACATCACAAAGATGTGATAAATGACTTCATATCATAAACTTTTTCTTAAAGTGCATTAATATAGATTTTGTCTTAATTTTTTAATATTTTAATATAATATAACATGATGCTTCTTTGAACACAAAATTTTCAGAATTAACTCCTTGATGAGAAATGAATATTGTAAAAATACTCTTTATCTCATGATCTTCTGTTTGAAGTCATGAGTCATTTTCCAGACGTTTACCAAGTGAGCACAAAAAAAACTTTCAAAATGATACAGAAAACAAATGCGGCATATGTGGAACTTTACATCTACACCAGTTGGTAGATAAATTCTAAATGTTTTGTGCACATCTCTCAGAGATTTGGTATGTGCTCCTCCAGTCACACAGCAGATGTCGAGATGGTAATCCAACTTGTCAAAAACTTTGTGCATGATGGAAGCAATGGCAGTTGTGATTCATTGCCTAAACTCTGGCATAGATTGCAGCAGAGGCTGGGTGCTTCCATGTGTGTGAATTACACGTTGCACAACTGTTAGAGACTTTCTTTGCTAACTGCAGAACACACCAATACACCTGTTGTGGTGTAGACATTTTTAAAATGAGTGGTATCTAGCAGAGGTGTGCAGCAACAACAACCATTCCGAAGCTCAGTTATCAACACACACAACATATGCTGCCCCTCCTGACAGGAAATTTATGGAATAGACAACATCCACTTTAAGAAGCATGGCAGTCTCCGTCCTCACACTTCCCATTGATTTGTCCAGCCTATCTACAGTAATGCATCTTCAGGTAATGGTCATCTATGATGGACATTTTCATTGAGTTCACAGCTGCCTGAGCATATCTGGTGTAACCATGGCCAGAGATCCTAGTTAGGTGTTTTCTTCTCATGGCCTGCTGATTGCAAGGTATCTCCAGGCACCTTTTGTCATATGCTGACTGGGACAGCAGAACCCACATTTCTGGTTCCAACTGGACCTGCTTCTTGAGGACCGCTTTTCTTTTCCTGGTTTACTTGTTCTGTGAACCAATCTAGTTCTTCCTCTTGATAGTGAGGTTCCTTGCCCCACATTATATTCTTTCTGCTCTGTGAAATTATTCTGATAATTATAAAATTTGATTAACAGGTGCATGTATAGTGTGTCTATTTTATGTTTGGTTACAGGAACTACCATTCTGGAAGCGATGTTTAACATTGGGTTTGTGGGGCAAGATAACATTATACAAGTATATTTCTTGCTGGCTCATCTCGGAGGGTGTGTGCATTACAGCAGGTCTGACATACAATGGCAAGGACTCGTCAGGCAAAAGTCGGTGGGATGGCTGTGCCAATGTTAAACTTCGAGTCTTCGAGGGAGCCACTAAATTTGGCCATTTCATCACCTCATTCAACATCAATACCAACAACTGGGTGGCGCAGTCAGTAAACCTATTTTAATGTTACAGCAGTAGGAATGGTAGGAGTCTGAAAATTGAGAAACAGTTGAAGTTCAGGTTTACATTAACAGCGAAGTTTGTTACAGATGCAGGTCTAGAGTGCTTTCCTGGTTTAATTAATACATGCATGTTTCTCTGTTGCTGAACTATGAACTCTAGGTCATGTGTGCATAACATGTAACTACGTACATTGCTTTATGATTTCATGTGTCCTTCAGTGGAGGCTATTTCAACAGGTATTTAATATGGGTTCACTGAAAGATTTACTGATAATATAAAGAGAGAAACAAGGCATATTATATTTCAGTTAACTTTAATATCTCAACTTTTATCATAAGTAAAGTGTGTATGAACTAGCGATGGGCCTGTGGACAACTGTCGTTTTATTTAAAAATAACAATCTAAAAATTGGTTGAATGTCTGTAGGCTTCCACTTCTACCACTAAAGAAACTAAGAAACTTTCATGTGTGGCAAAATTAACTATCAAGAATTACATACACTGAAATAAACTGTACATTATGACAATTGTTTACCAGATGTAGGAGGTAATGGTTTTACATTGGGTCTGAATTCCCTCAACACTTCTCCCCCCACTTCTAATTTTCAGAAACCTTTTCACAAAATTTATCTCACATTATTTGGATATTTGTACTGTGAATTACTGGGTGGCACAAGAAAAGTTATGTTTTTTTAAACAATGGTAAATGTGAATGGCTTAATGGATTTGAATTAAAACTGTGTAAGTTGTGCAGCACATAAATAAGTTTGTGTAACAAATCAATCAAAATGAATAAACTCGTTTGTCCACAAACTTAGTTATGTTCATTTTTGCCATTGTTTTTAAAAAAGTATTTTTTTCACTACCCAGTATATATACTATCTGGCATTGTGTGTGGGATCTTCCGTTCTCTGTTACCATATTTGTACAGTGAGGATATTTGGCAGTATGGTATGGCCTTTCTGCTATGTGCAGTCGCTGTATCATTTGTCATGTTTTCTAGTTCTAATGATATAGCTACCAAATATCCTCACTGTGTATCATTACCTTATTCTGTTCACATGTTTGAACAGCCATTAGGTATTAACAGTGTGTTTATTTAATTTATGTAGATGAATTATTTGTTTACATGTGCATTTCAATTCTGTAATTGTGACTTACACATCACAAAGATGTGATAAATGACTTCATATCATAAACTTTTTCTTAAAGTGCATTAATATAGATTTTGTCTTAATTTTTTAATATTTTAATATAATATAACATGATGCTTCTTTGAACACAAAATTTTCAGAATTAACTCCTTGATGAGAAATGAATATTGTAAAAATACTCTTTATCTCATGATCTTCTGTTTGAAGTCATGAGTCATTTTCCAGACGTTTACCAAGTGAGCACAAAAAAAACTTTCAAAATGATACAGAAAACAAATGCGGCATATGTGGAACTTTACATCTACACCAGTTGGTAGATAAATTCTAAATGTTTTGTGCACATCTCTCAGAGATTTGGTATGTGCTCCTCCAGTCACACAGCAGATGTCGAGATGGTAATCCAACTTGTCAAAAACTTTGTGCATGATGGAAGCAATGGCAGTTGTGATTCATTGCCTAAACTCTGGCATAGATTGCAGCAGAGGCTGGGTGCTTCCATGTGTGTGAATTACACGTTGCACAACTGTTAGAGACTTTCTTTGCTAACTGCAGAACACACCAATACACCTGTTGTGGTGTAGACATTTTTAAAATGAGTGGTATCTAGCAGAGGTGTGCAGCAACAACAACAATCACCTGGGTCATTTGAAACAAAACTTTGTGTTTTTCTGTTGACTGGTGTGGGTGTGAAGTTGTAGTTAAGCCTCATTTGATTTCTGTGTTGTTTTGAAAGTATAAAGCTCTTTTGTGTTCATTGTCATAAAATATGAATTTGTTCTTATGCAGCACAAAAACTAAAGAACAGGAAAATTAATAATAGTAGTACTTTGAAATACTTTTAGATGTTCATAAAGAGGTTATAATATTAATTTTTATATTGTGTATTAACCTTACTTATTTTTCCTTCGAATTATAAGCCAAAAATTTATTTGTAACCTCAGAATAACACTAGGTAGTTGGTTTACTTAATATATATGTTCAAGATGGCCTGATCATTTGCAAGAAATAAGTGTAACTTGCTGATGTGGAGTGAATATGTAGCATAAAACGTTTTTTTATTATGTGCGATTATGGTATTGATACAGGCTGTTAAGTATTGGTATATCAGAACTAAGATTATTAATATAATTAAGTTACTAGGTACATATAAATATCAATGCTTCGACATTAATGCTAGTAGTTGGTGCAGTATGTAACTAAAATTGGCAGGCAGCAGGCTTTAAGTAAGGAGCAGTCAGATTACTAAGACAGGCAGTATGTTTCTTCAAAAGTGTATTTACCTAGAAGTCCACATGGCGTAACAACCCAGAATACTAGCATCTGAAGGACAACTAAAGTTGGCAAATATTTTGCTTGAAGTAACAGGTGGCTGGTGCATGATGACCCAGAACACAAAGATATCTGGCATTATAATTACATTCCATACTAATTATCGGAGTGTAGCAATAGTTTTCATTTTTATAATTTTTGTAAGTATTCCAGATCAGCAGAAAGTATTTTTAATTCTTAAAAGAGTAAATTAGAATTTATGTTAGAGAAAGTTATGCACACAGAACACTGTTCCTTCACACACCCCAAGCTTGAAAGGATTAGTACAATAATACAAGAATCTCATTTTATTTTATGAAACGTGAATTTCTGTGAGAAAAGATAAAAATTAACATGATGTTTCAAAAAGCTAAATTGTGGTGTATTATCATTCAGTGAGGTATAATGTGTCACAGCTTCAGACCACTCCGTTTTTTTACAGATACGTATACAAACGCCTGAAGTTCCTTGGCAACCGCTATATCTCGCAGGCAGCGGCACTTGTGTTCCTTGCAGTCTGGCATGGTCTGCATTCTGGGTACTACATGTGCTTCTTGCTTGAATTTGTTATTATGAAACTTGAGAAAGATGTGAGTATAGATGTGCTGGATTTCAAGTTTTTGTTAATGAACTTAGAGTAAGTCTGTATCAAGTTTATGTTCACTAGGGCTCACCTAATGGAATTTAAATATAAGACCTATGATCATGAGGCCATAATTCAATATTTGCATTGTACTTCAATACAAAATAAGGGGAAGGTGACTGTCTTGTGGGATATTGTGCTGTGTAATCTGATAAAATTGACCAATATTTCATAGTGCTTCCGCCTCCATCATGTCAATAATTGCTCTGATGATGGAGGCAGTAAGCACCTCTGAAATGTTGGTCAGCTTCTTTGAGACTACATAGTGCAACATTCCAGAAGACAGTAATATTCATACTTCCTACTGTGAGAACTTGAAATCTCACAAAATAAAAGGGTTGTGATATGTGAATAAGCATTTATTTTAACATTAATCTGGTTTTGAGAGAGATGAATGGTAAAACCATTTATTGTTAGAGTTGAGGTTGAGGCTGTAAAGATGTGCTCTTCTGGGTTATGATGATGGTGTGTAGACTCATAGGTAGATACCAGTGTTTGGGAAAACAATGTCTCCATCTTCAGGACAGAAGATACAAATGGTATTGGCTTTAAAATGATAATTCCCTATGAGTCTGTGTCACACCCGGAACAACAGCATTGACGGTTTATTTTTGTTGCTCTGATTTTGAAGCAGCCAGTTTAATAGTTGAACAGTGAACCAAACTTTTGCACACAGAATCTCTGTTTTATTTCTTAAATGAAACAAGATACTTGCATTCTGTGCATGAAGTGCTGAAATTAAGCATATAATAAGGAAGTCCTGTCCATCCACCCTTTTGCCTAAATTTAACATATATTTAAACTTATTGAAGGAATGATTTAAAATTAGATTTATATACATTACAAAGATACTTTGTTTATAAAAAAGCCAAGGCTACCAAGAAGGGAATTAGAATTAAAATTTAATGGTAAGAGACCCATGGGATGACCAAGAACAAGATGGTTTATCCAGGTACTAGAAGACATCAAGAAGAGAGGATGGTGCTAGAAGAAGAATAAAATGAAGACACATAAATATAAATACATATGTGTTTGTTACCTTATCGAAGGTATCACCACCTTGTCGAAGGCAATCTGCCGGGTGAGGAGGCTTGCGTGCTCAAATGACCCTTAGGGCTATGCCGGCCGGAGCTTCGGCTCATGGTAGGGTCACCCAAGCCGGACAGGTCTAAGGAGATGCGCTAGACAAAGAGTGATACCCTGGTCCTCCAGTTTGGGGGTTGGGTGTAAGGCTAACAACCTTTCACCTGGGGGGAAAAAAAGAAAAAAAAGCTATGTTACGAACACATTAACCAAGCCTCGGATCAGGATGGAATCTTTGGCACGACCACGGCAATTGGAAAAGGACATGAGATTTGGTACTTGGAACATTAGGAGCCTCTATAGGGCTGGGGCACTGAAATCAGTGGGTAGGGAATTAGGGAATTATAAGTTAGACTTAGTGGCAGTGCAGGAAGAGCGATGGGAGGGGGAGGGCCCGATCCCAGTGGACAATTTTACATTTTTCTATGGAAAGGGGAATGACAATCATCAGCTAGGGACGGGTTTTTTTGTTCATAGCAGAATTAGGGCAGCAGTTAAGAGAGTAGAATTTGTTAGTGACAGGTTGTCTTACGTAATTTTGGAAGGACGTTGGTGCGACATCATTGTCCTTAATGTTCATGCCCCAACTGAAGACAAAAGCGATGATATCAAGGATAGCTTTTATGAAGAATTGGAATCAGTATTTGATACATTTGGCAAGTATCACATGAAAATTCTGCTAGGAGATTTCAATGCAAAAATTGGGAGGGAGGATGTCTTCAAACCCACAATAGGCAGCGAGAGTCTCCATGCACTTAGTAATGATAATGGCGTCAGAGCAGTGACCTTCGCTACGTCAAAAGATTTAATTGTAAAAAGTACAAAATTTCCACACCGTGATGTTCATAAATACACTTGGACTTCCCCAGATGGCAGAACACACAATCAAATAGATCATGTTTTAGTAGATAAGAGAAGGCAGACAAATGTAATTGATGTGAGATCATTCAGAGGAGCAGATTGCGACACTGATCATTATCTGGTGGTAGCAAAAGTGAGGGAGCGGCTTTCAGTAAGTAGACGAACTAAACAAAATTTTGACACAGAAAGATTTGATTTGAAAAAATTAAGTGAGGGAGAGGCAAAGGAACAATATCAAGTTGAAATTTCGAATAGGTTTCAAATTTTAGAGACAAATGAGGATAATGAAAGTGTGGACATCAACAGGGAGTGGGAAAATGTCAGAAACTGCATCAAAATTTCAGCAAAAGAGAAACTAGGATACTACAGGAGAAAGCAAAATAAACCGTGGTTTGATGAAGAATGTTCAAAATTAATAGATCGAAGGAAGCAAACAAAATTTCAATGGTTGCAGAACCCAAACAAAACAAATGCGGATAATCTATGTAACGTGAGACGTGAGGCTAGTAGAACCTTTAGGACTAAGAAAAGGGAATACCTGAAGGGCAAAATTGCTGAACTTGAGACAAATAATAAGGAAAAAAACATCAGAGACCTGTACAGAGGCATTAATAACTTTAAGAAAGGATATCAACCCCAGACTAATTTGGTAAAGGATGATAGTGGCAATTTGCTTGCAGATCCAATAAAAATTGTGAATAGGTGGAAAAATTTCTTTAGCGAGCTCTTAAATGTTCATAATACTGGTGATATTAGACAGATTAAAATGCATACAGCTGAACTGTTGGTGCCAGAACCTAGCTTAGATGAAGTGGAACTAGCCATTGGGAAGTTGAAAAGTTATAAATCTCCAGGAATTGATCAGATTCCGGCCGAATTAATTAAAGCAGGTGGCAAAGGGTTGCATATGAGGATCCATAAGCTTATTCAGTTAATTTGGGATAAGGAAGAGATGCCACATCAATGGAAGGAATCCATAATTATTCCTATTTATAAGAAGGGGGACAAGACTGAGTGTGGTAATTACCGAGGAATATCGCTGCTATCAACCTCATACAAAATTCTATCCAACATTCTTTTGGCAAGATTAACCCCATATGCGAATGAAACTATTGGGGATCATCAGTGTGGGTTCAGACGAAACAGATCAACGATTGATCAGATCTTTTGCATTCGTCAGATACTAGAGAAAAAATGGGAGTTCGGTGGGACTGTACATCAGTTATTTATAGATTTCAAAAAAGCCTATGACTCTGTGAAGAGAGAAGTGCTATATAATATTCTTATTGAATTTGGTATACCAAAGAAGCTAGTGGGTCTAATAAAAATGTGCTTAAATGAAACCTGCAGCAAAATTCGAGTAGGTAAATATGTATCTGAGACATTCCTCATCAAGAACGGTCTAAAACAAGGAGATGCTTTGTCTCCCTTGCTCTTTAACTTTGCGCTAGAATACGCCATCAGGAAGGTCCAAGGTAGGCAGGAGGGTTTGCAATTGAACGGGACACATCAGCTATTGGCATATGCTGATGATGTTAATTTATTGGGGGACGATATAAATACAATAAAGAGGAACGCAGAAGTTTTACTAGAGGCTGGTAGACAAGTGGGGCTGGAAGTAAATTCAGAAAAAACTAAGTACATGTTAGTATCTCGTCATCAGAAGACAGGCGGGCAAAATTATCTTAGGGTAGCTAATAAATCCTTTGAAAGGGTTACAAAGTTCAAATATTTGGGAACAGCAATAACAAATCAAAATGATACTTGTGAGGAAGTTAGGAGGAGACTAAATTCCGGAAATGCTTGCTACTTCTCAGTTCAAAATATTTTGTCTTCCCGTCTGATTTCTAAGAACCTGAAAATTAAAGTATACAGAACAATAATCTTGCCTGTTGTTTTGTATGGGTGGGAAACATGGTCTCTCACTCAGAGGGAGGAACACAGATTGCAGGTGTTTGAGAATCGGGTGTTGAGGAGGATATTTGGGCCTAAGAGGGAAGACGGTGGGGCGTGGAGAAAACTGCACAATGACGGGCTTAAAAATCTGTACTGCTCCCCCAGTCTTGTGAGGGTGATTAAGTCGAGAAGAGTGAGATGGGCGGGACATGTAGCGCGCATGGATGGGACAAGAGGTGTGCACTGGGTACTGGTTGGGAAACCTGAAGGGAAGAGACCGCTGGGGAGACCTAGACGTAGATTGGGAGGATAATCTCAGGCGGGATCTATGGGAGATAGGAGTTGAAGGAGACTGGATTTTGTTGGCCCAGGACAGGGTCCGGTGGAGGGCTTTGGTTAATTCGGTGATGAACCTTCGGGTTTCATAAGCCATCTGGTTGTTGGGTCCACTACTTGGGAAGCCTGAGGGGAAGAGACCTCTGGGGAGACCTAGACATAGATGGGAGGATAATCTCAGGCGGGATCTATGGGAGATAGGAGTTGAAGGAAACTGGATTTTGTTGGCCCATGACAGGGTCCGGTGGAGGGCTTTGGTTAATTCGGTGATGAACCTTCGGGTTCGGTAAGCCATCTAGTTAGTTAGTTATGTGGTTGTTACAGCTATTTATTGACAATTACCTTTTCTCTGTATAATTTAATATCCTTATAAATATATCTTGTAAGGATATTAAATTGTACCAAGCATTATCATCCTCCTGAATATTTACAGTATGCAAGAATTTTTTATTAAAGTAAATTACAGCTCAGTCAGTATAGTGACTGGCTGCGGAGTGGATGACTGGGGTTTGATCCCCATTGGGAGCAGAAGATTTTTTCTCTAGCCTCTGTGTCCATACCAGCTATGGAGCTCACCCAGCCTCTTATCTAGAGGGTAAAGTGTGGCTGGGGTGTGACGCTAATCAGTCACCCCCACCTAGTACTGAGGTTAAGAATGAGTAGGATCTATAACCTCCCCACCCCTGAAGTGCCTACATGGAGTATAGTGGGGCGGCTTTACTTTTGTACTTTTATTTTGCTGAGTAGAAGGAGTTATCATTGGTTCTTCAAAGGCTAGGGGAAGAACACCCTGAAAAAAAAAACACCTGGTCCTCCAGGTTGGGGGTTGACGCGGTGGGCCAGCTCCTCACCCGTCGGAAAAAACCCCAATGCTAAAAAAGCCTAATAAAAATAAGCCTCGGAACCATGATAGAGTGGAAACTACCTCCGGAAGGATGGGAAAATAGAGAAGAATGGAAGAAAATATTAGGCACCGGAAGACCGAAGTAACGGTCAAGAAACGGAAGAAGAAGAAGTTATCTAGAAGATAATCTTTAAATGCTGATTTGGGCACACATTGGATTCCTAATTGTGTAATTATCATTCTATAATTCCTGCTAGCCTCATCATACAAAATAAACCATTTGAAGGAATATATGTGTTGCAAGTTCATTCCAGAAATTCCTGTTAATCAAGTAGCCTTATTTATACATATTTATTAATTCTGATGTTTTGATGTTTTCAGTTGGAGGCAATGCTTGAACAAAGTGAAATTAAAGAATTTCTCAGGCATGGTGTACTTCGCCCTCTCACATGGTTGGTGCTGAAGCTGTACACATTTGTGTTCATGGGATATTGTCTGGTTCCATTTGTTCTGCTGTCATATCCACGCTGGAACCATGTGTACATGTCTGTTTACTATTTTGGTCATTTTGTATTCTTCCCTTGGCCACTTTACTCACCATTTGTGAAGAAACTGCTGAAATTGTGGAAGCTAAGAAGATCTCACCGAGAGTGAAAGTATATAGCAGCATGATCCTGAAGGTATGGATGCCATACATACTAGAAAATACAGTGTGTTTACTTTTATAACAGTACCTGGACTCATTTGAGGATTTCATTAACCTCTGCAACCCAGGACCTGTTGTTTATATGATTATTGTTGTTCTTTAAAATTAAGTGTGATCTACCCCACTGATTTTAATCTTTAGACTTGTCACGTAAACCACGTCAAACACTAGACACTGCCAGTATTATATCTTTATATTATTTTTTTGTTATCTGTTTGCAAAAATACTGCATTATACATTGTACAACAAAGTGGCCAACAGAAAATTACAAATACAATGACCTGTGGTTGGCATACAGCCCGTGACATAGCAGTCAGTCTCTTGCTGGTTGTGTTAATTTCATTACACTCATATCTGAGGGTACCTGGGTTATGCTCAAAAAGTGGTCTTTCATAAGTTGGATAGGTTGTGTTTTGTGATATCCCATTTACGTACGTCAATTTAGACATGTGATCAGTGATTAGTGATGTGGGTATATAGGTATTATTGGCCACCTTACGTACAGGAGTGTAAAACTGTTTCAGAACCTAATGTTCAGGGAAACAGTAATAACCAAATAAGTATATCTTGGCAAGCATTCTTGATTCTTTCAAATTGGGTCATAGTGTATTTACATCGTTTTACCCTTGATTAAGGTTATCACTAACATGAAGAATAGAGTACTGTTTAAAATAAATACACTGTACAGAGTTTAGATTGCTAGAATATGAAATTAAGTATGTGTAGATGGATTTTTACACCACTCATGTAGATGACATGAAAGGAGACCAGTAACAGTTCACTTGCATAAAACAGGATATGAGATACATACATGGTATGTAACATGAGGTTATTGTAAATTGGATCAGAAAGAACATTAAAATTATCAGCAGTAAATGGTGTTACATCCCCAAATAGTGTACAAAAGTGTTTTATCACCTAAAATTTTGTTGTTTTAAATTTTGTTGTTGTAATTTTACAAATATGTATTTGCTTGCCACATTTATTTCTCAATACTGCTGGTAATAATTTTTTTAAACAAGTATGGGGTTTAATTTAACCTACTTTCTTTTGTGTTAATTCTGCAAAATGTTCAGCGTATTTACTTCTAAACATGTTCCCAAGAACACGAGGCTGTTTTAAAGTCGATGTGGGTGCACTCAACTCTGTACTGTACTGAATGATTAGCTGGTAAATTGAGTGAAGGATAGCTTGTATTGCTGACTACATAGACTTCATGTAGAAAGCAACTGAGCGGTACTACTGCGTGTCCTATAAGGCTGTGGTGCGCAAACCCTTTTTTACCCATGACCTCACATTTTAACAACTTTTCTTATGTGACCCCACCCTATTTATGTTTATATCTTTGAAAGAAAAAAGTAAAAATGTCAGTACACAACGTGAGTTTGGATCTTGGGTGTCAATTATTATCTTTACTGAAATAATTACAAATATTTTTAGATGTTGGTGTTTATTCAGATTCTTCAAATGAAAGAAACAATAATTAATAAAAAAAATTTAGCTTGGATCCTGGGCATTGTGCTTTCCAGTCTTGTACTAATGGATGAAATTGCTCTTTAAAATATACCTCCACATGAAGTCTGGAATACTGCCCATGCCTTTATGAAGTTCACCATACTGATACATGTTTTAGTATTTCATTGGCATGAAATGAACATCAGAAATCCAGTCATTGAACATAAACAATGAAACAACCAAAGCAAGGTTGCTTTGTGTACATATGACCAATTGAATGAACCCATGTAAAAGTACTTCTTATTCTTGCCAATTGCTGTTTTTAAAATTTAGTGGCAGATTTGTATTTTCTGATTTTTTTAATTGTTAGTTGATCTTGGTATGGTATAAATGGTTATTAGTAACATGTCAGTTGACATAGATAAACTTATACAGTATTAAATTGGTATATAAATAAATCACTCAGTTTCTTTGTAGCATAACAACAGTGATACACAAGCCTGCCAAAAATGAAGCATCAATATAAATAGCAGGCACTGGAGCAAGTAATATGTTTCTCAAACTTATTGCCCAACACTAGTGGTGTGCAAATTTATACTCAATTGTTAGGTTGACAGTCTGTCTGCACAACAGTTTTGTTTATAGTTTCAGTGTTTGTTAAGAATCTACTACATGTTTTTACCTTAACTGGTCATCTTTCAGGTGGTTCTCTTTAAGTGTTTGAAACTAGTAGATATGACTGCTAAATTCTGTACTTATTTTGTGTAGTTGAACTGCAGAGTTCAACTATATCTTTTCACTAGTAACTGCTTGTACATTGTCTGCTCTACTTAAATAGGTAAGCTGCTTAAGACACAGTCCATTATGTGGTGAAGTCAACAACAGAAGATATGTGTACAATTTAGCATTATATATATTAGTTTCAAACTCTCAAAGAAACCCACCTGAAGATGACAGTTAAGGTTGAAACATGTAGTGGGTTCTTAATGTACATAGATACTATTATCAAAAATTGTTGTGTAGATCAGTGGTATTTAACCTTTTTTGTTCACGTACCCCCAGATATAATTTCTCTTCAACTTTGTACCCCCAAAGTTGGTGTATAATTCAGATTATACATAGTATATAACCTACATCTAAAATAAATTAAATAAATAACATTACTGATTATTCAGTGTTTATCATAAAATAATATATATTTTTTTGACGTAAACACGTCTATACGGAAGGGTCATTCAGCAAAAAAGTGTAACGAAAAAGTGACAGGAAAATGTGTAACGAAAATGTGTAACGAAAATGTGTAAGAACAGTATCAACAAATCGACAACAATGTGTAAATATGGACCGACAACAATGGTCAGCTTGTGTGCATTGTTATGTTACCTAGGAAACGTCATCTGTTTACTCGGCATTGTTGTGTTATATTACTGCCGTCAACAATCCGCTTTCGTAACAAGATGTATGACATTGAAGATAACATTACATTACATTGCATTACATTACAGAGATGTAAATATAAATTAAATAGAGAGACGTATTTACGTCAAATTCTCCGGAACCGTGGTTCCACTGTCAATTTTTTAAATTTCACGTACCCCCTAAGATGTCTTCGCGTACTCCAGGTTGAATACCACTGGTGTAGATGGTTTGCCAACCCAATGGTCGACACACAACAGGATGCATCCCTTAAAACTTGTGATACTTAATTGGATTATGTAAAGCACAGTATGAAATTCCAGGCAGTATGGTCATACAGCAGATCAGTCTTATTTATAATGGTCACTTACAAGTCTGCTTTGTATCTCATATTGTCTCTGTTATTGCCTTACAATTCCGACACATGAATCCCTACAATTACAATAACAACAAAAACAAGAGGTATATTAAGATAAATATGGCCAGTCATTGTTGCAGAATAACTGATTTTGTAACAAGAATACTTCAGTATTAGTGAGAAGCATTTTTAGATGAATACTCTAACTAAAACAACATGTATACAATTTCACAACTTATTTTCAAATTTCTGCCTTGTGTAAAATATGTGTTGAAAGTGTTTATAGTGTTTCAAATTTTCCACAACATTTCTTTGACCCAAGACTGCCACCCACGACCCCAAACAGGGTCATAATCCCAGGGTTGCCACCACTGCTGAAAGAGTCTGACTAACCAACTCCAGAGTTATTTCAAAATCACCTAAAGCTTAATGAGAGTAATCCAGTTAATATTACAGATTCCTTCATTATCATTCCCCCTCATTCCTCTCTGAGGGCACTTTAAATATCCTATTTGAATCAATGTGTATTACTTGGACTAGTCAGTGGAGGTTTATTGCCTGAGTGCTTGTAAGCAAAGATGGCTGGAGTTTTAAATAAACCAGTTCTGAAGATTGCTGTCTTCTGGGCTGTTGCACCATATAGCCTCGTAGATGTGGACATCTTCCAGACTGCACAGCGCAACAACCCAGAAGACAGCGATCTTCATACTCACTGCCGTGAAAACCTCAAATCCTACAAACCATGCCTCTTCTTATGCTTTTTGCATGAAGTTATGGAACTTTCGTTTTATCTGCATTGATGCTATGGTGCTTATTCACATAGACTAATCAATTCATGTAATTTATATGAAAAAGAAGAAAACTTTCAGTACAGTGACATCTTATTCCTGCACATTTTTGTTACTGTATCTAATATGAACATACTAATGTTTGTAATGTATGCCATATCTTGCCTTTGATAAGAGCAATACTAACTACAGAGGAATAAAGAGATCGCTCACTTATAGTTATACAAAAAAAATGTATGTTTGAGTCGTGATGGTCCATTATTATATGGAATAAAATTGGATCAGTGAAGTTTTTATTAAATAGCAATATAAGACATTGAGGCAGTAGAAAATTCTTTTGCAAGGTTATAGGTATTGACAGTTTGATTATTTAAAGTTAAATTTCTAAATATTAAAGAGTAATGAGAAGATTTTTAGGTACTTTCATAAAATCTTTATTGTAATTGTAATGAAATAGATGACGATCTCAAGAAATATCTTTACATCCTACACAGTATATAATGATATGGAGTTCTCTGTTGAATTGTTTGTGGTAAGTTAATTGTCTTATATAGAAGAAAGAGTGCAATACATGTGCAGTAAAATATAATTTTATCACAAAATTTAATTAAACACATGATGTCTTGTATTATCCAGTTTATAGGTTCAGTATGAGAAGAAATTTTCATGTATTTCTCAGTGTTGCTGAGTTTAAAGTGTATCACACAGTAAGCCAAAGCCATTTAGATACATGCCTTCTATAATAGGTCAAAATTTTTGTTATGCAGTGAAAAATCTGTGATTTTTAACAAGATATACCAAAAGCTTGTTGTAATTTTACTTTTTGTACAGATATTCGCTTGTACAAAGTCTGTATGCTGCTTAAGTGCATAGTTTTTTAAACACTTGTGTAATTTTTTGTTTATAATTTATGTTTTTAGCACTTATCATTTCTTATTGCAAAACATTGTCATTCAAATGGTCTGTTTCTTTTCTATGGTATATTTGAAATGAAAAATATTTAATTACCAAATCAGTATTGAAGAATAACAGTAATGTTTGAAACAGTGGACATATTTTTTGGAAACTTGGTTTTAACATTATGCCATTGGAGGCAACCCAGTGTTTGTACTTTGTAGTGTTTTATCATTGACAATTTCCACATGGCAGCCATGTTACTTGGGCTCAGAAATTTTTCTAGACCTTTTGTTTCTTAAATGTTCTGCAGCATCTGAAACTACAGAATTTTAGTTGCACTGTTTAAATGTTTTACAGAAGTGGATACATCAAGGCCGGAACTTGTCTTCTCTTTGATGTCAGTTTTGTTTTATATTTAATGTGTTATTATGTGTTAAATTAATCTTAAATTCATATTGATTTATAAAGCTGCTGTCACTTCTGCAAAAATATATATACTCTCTGTGGTTGTCTCTTGTGATTTGCTCATACTCTTTGTTATATACCTTGTTTTGTTATTATGAATTAGTTAACTGCTTTGTTTATATTTCATTTTGTTAATATTTATTTTTGGTATATTTTGTGATTGCATTTCTTTTGCTTGTATTACGATATATTTGAGTAATTCCTTAAAATAATATAAAATTAGAGTAATATTATTCCATTTCCTATGTCGGTATCCAGAATCACGATATAAAAATTAAAATTGATTTTGCAGATATAGGCACCCAGGCGCGTCTCCAAAATTAAATGAAAGAAGCCTGGAGATGTAATAAACGGATAAAAACAAAAGCAATATAAGCAGAGCAACAGATACACCAGATTTTAATTTTAATTTTGATAGACCTGACGATGATAGAATTGTATATCGAAACATGTCAATTTTAAAATGTAACAATTTTATGTGAAATTTTATATGATTTTTAACAATAAGCTTGTGTAACGACGGAAATAAAAGTATTGTATTGAGGAACACAAGCATGATGCAATTAAGATATAAATTATTTTTGGTTATTTGTTAAATTATTTTCATTTTGTAACTGGAGTAAAATAAATTGTTAACGATTTATTATCTCATACATATCTGAAGTTGTGGTCAAAATTATTATGATACGTGACTTGTTCATAAAATTTATAATCCATATACATAACTGATTATGATCTGTGTGGTACATTGCACATGAGGTTACATGCATGTATGAGTTTAGTTACATTATTATGTGAAACTAAATAAAGTATATTCTCATATTTCCTGTTTGTATTATGATGGTCCAGAAGAGCTTAATGTCTCTTTATGTGTTCCTAATTACACACTTTGTTCGTACATAAGTGAATGTTCAAAGCTGAATTTACAAGGTAAACACATTTACAATATATTGTCTTTTTTAAATCTCTTATGAGTTCCTTTTGTTTTATGTCACATTCAGATGTATGATTGTGAAATACTTTGCATTTTGTGACTTCAAATTTAAGGTAAACATTAAACAAAATTATAAGCTGAGTTTTTGTACCCTGTAGGCACACTGAGTATGCAATTGTTTAAACTTTTTTCAGTGTTATGTTACAAAATAACAAGTTCATCTAAATATTACTGTTGTTTTCATGTTTTAATTTGAGTGGTACTTTTAGAAACATTATTTAAAGCAGTTATTATGTTACTTGAAAAAGACAAGAATATTATAGTCTGTTGCGTAACTACTGCATCACAAACATAGGAACAGTTAAAAATGCATAATGCTTCTGTCTCACATTTTCATGTCAGAGTAAAAGGTTCAATAGACATACTGTAACTATACATGTAAACATTTAAAATTTGTAGCCTATTCTTAGCAATACAATAAACTTAAAAGAGTGATGGAGGGAGGCAAGGAGAGTAGAAGACTCATTTTTGAACAGAATTCCCTTCTTATGATAATTGTTATAAATAAGACACTGGTCTATGAAAATTTTTTACATAACAGGACAGCTTTGTATTTAAATAAAGAGAATGAGATACTTTAAGGCATTCCTTACATGACATTTAAGATTTCTAATGGGAAGTACATTTCTTTCTGTCCAACAGCAAGTACCAGAATAAAATATCTTGTAGCAAAAATGAGATTGAATGTCCTCCAGACTCAGTTAAAGGATACTGGATTCCATATATTCAATATTCTCTAGTACATTTTTTTCATGGAGTCTTGAATAACAAATTCTGGATACACTGGAACTCAAACTGATTAGGCTGATATTACTAAGCTTGTCTATAATTACTAGATTGTAGGTGCTAGTTGATTACAAGGTTACTTCTGGTTGAGATGTAGTCTTCATAGCAGAATAGAAGTGCTTAAGAAATCAATAAGTAACCCACTATTTTAGTACACATAAAAATGGGAAGAAATTGCATTAACTCCACAGTAAAATTTAAGAGGGGATTTTTGTGAACCAGATCCATTATTAATATTTGATATTCAGAATGGAAAAAGAAAGGCATCAGATGAAGAGATGATAATCAAAAGGATAGTTAAAATTACTGCTGTAAAGAATTGCTTCAGAATCTGTGCTCAAGTACTTTATTTATAAACTTGGA